CACTCAGACAGTTTGTGGACAGTCAACAGTCTCTGTTCCAGCCAACTGGGACTACACTCGGTGTTCTGGATCCACGTGTAGCACCGAGCGTTTAAAAGAAGAGGTTTTTGAAGACAAAACCCCATCCTGGTAGCTCAGCGGTTACAGAGGGAGGTTCTGTGCAAGCCAGCAATTCACCAGAAGCTGAGTTAGCAGGAGCATCTTGATCTCAGGTTCCTAGAATAGAGTTGCTTAATTTTTCCTTGGGGCTTCCTATCAAGGAGAGCAAATTCTCCAGACAAACCTAAAAAGACTCAGCAAGAACAGAGGCTGGATGTGCCTCCGCAGTGTCTTGTCCTGTACCAGGTACCTCAGCACTCAGCAGAGCACGTGCCTAGCATGGGGCTGAATAGAGAATCAGCTGAAAAGGCTTTAATTGCTTGTGCAAAATCCACTCAAGCAAATGGCCTAAACCAGCATCTGAACAACTGAGACCCCCACTTTGCTAAGCAAGCGCACCATCTTTCATTTCAAAATTATACAGATGGGAGAAGATTCATGCCAGATTGTCTTCCCTGGCTAATACTTAGTTTATCATCATAAAAATTAGTAAAATTTCTATAAGAAATAGGATGGAGAATTAGAAAAGGGGGGATTATCTGTGGGAGAGGGGAACGGAAGGACAGTCAGAGGGGACAGAATAAACGAGGACAAAGTATAAGGACAGAAATGTATGAAAATGCCGCAATGCATGGTGGCGCACATCTTTAATCCCAGCACTCGGAGCCAGAGGCTGGCAAATCCTTGAGTCTGAGGTCAGCCTGGTCTACAGAGAGTTCCTGGACAGCCAGGGCTACCCAGAGAAACTGTTTCAAAAAAAAGGGGGGGGGAGGAGAGAAAGAAAATGACACAAACTAGTTGTTTTGTGTGCTCACCCTAAAAAAAAAAAAAAGCTGAAAAAGAAGAAACAGCAGCAGATTCTGCATTTGTTGCCTCCATTTTGCTGCAAGCAAGAGTTGAGCATTTATTTCTAGAGGCTGGGCACTGTCTCCAGAATATCTGCCTGCTGTGTTTCTCGGCTGAGTTCTGCTGCTATCTGGAAAAAGGCAAGCCTTGCTGCCCGGGTGTGTTCTAGTTGTTGGCTAATGTGCAGCTGGCCCACACCTGCCCACCCCCCAGGTGATCTCCTCTGCAGTCATCCCCCTGCCTCACCTCTGGAGTGCATCTCCACACCCAGAGAGGAGTGACTTAGAAATAATTTCAAACTTAGCAATTGGAAGAAGAATCCAGAGCAGATTTACTATCTAAAAGGAACAAGTTCCTTGGGCTGGTTGCTCGGTGAGGAAGAGGCTGATGTTTGGAAGGAAAGTTATGACTTGAAAATAGAAATGACCAACTTTATGTCATGCAGATATCTGGCCAGAAGCTATGAACAGTTGGGCCTGCCTGGCAGCACCTCTGTTCTGTGGCATTTTTCTCTCAGCGCCGTAACAAGCTCAAGTCCGGTTGGTGACAGCAACGTCTTCCTGAATCCCGTTGGCCAACCTTTGCTCAATTTCTCTGTTTTGTAATCCCCTGCTTCTATCTAGCTTCACTAGCTTTCATCAGTTTTCACATTTGTCTTATCAGTTTCTCTATAACTTTGTGTAATTTATAGTATGATATAACAATCACCTAGTTATCAATAAAATATAAAATGTGGCTGTTATAGTTGACACGCAGATACTCTCCATGTCACACACATAACAGTTTTTCTGAACTCTTTCTTAAAATCTTATTTTAAAAAAAATTTTTTTAGATTTATTTATCTATTATGTATTCAATGTTCTGTCTGCATGTATCCCTGCAGGCCAGAAGAGGGAACCAGATCTCATTACAGATGGTTGTGACCCACCATGTGGGTGCTGGGAATTGAACTCAGGACCTCTGAAAGAGCAGCCAGTGCTCTTAACCACTGACAGCTGGACACATCTCTCAATGGTGAACCCCCTGAGCCATAAAACATACTTAACAATATCAAAGACAATAAAATATACGTTTTAAATTTTACTGTAAACATGCTCTTAGCTGAGTATAGCGTTTGTATTCCTAGCTACTCAAGAGGGTAAGGCAGGAAGATCACTTGAGTCTGAGAGTTTAGAAACTGCCTGGCTAACTAGAAGCTTAAATTACTCTTGAGAGTGCTGGAAAGATGGCCCAATGGTTAGGATCACTGGCTGGTCTCCCAGAGGACCCGAGTTCGATTCCCAGTACCCTCATTGCCATTCATAACTGTCTACAACTCCAGTCCCAGGAAATCGGTGCCCTTATCTGTCCTCAGATACCAAGCTGCATATGGTGCACAGCCACACAAGTAGGCAAATCATTTACACACATCAAATAAAATGAATACTTTTTTCCTCCGTGTGTATCCCTGACTGTCCTGTAACTCATTCTGTAGATCAGGCTAACCTCGTGAACCACCAACCCTGGCAGAATTATTTTTTTAAAAAAATGAGGAGATTGTCGGGCAGTGGTGACACACGTCTTTAATCCCAGCACTTGGGAGGCAGAGGCAGGCAGAACTCTGAATTCAAGGTCAGCCTGGTCTACAAGAGCTAGTTCCAGGACAGCTAGGACTATTACACAGAGAAACTCTATCTCAAAAAAAAAAAAAAAAAAAAGCAGGCAAGCAAGCAAACAAACAAAAACAAAACAAAAAACCAAGGTGATTTATATTAGAGAAGATACAAAGTTTTTATCAAGTAAGATAAAGCAAGAGGAAGATCTGTAGTGTTCATTATTCCTGGAATGATTTTACTTTTAGGGTTCTATGATATTTAAGAATATTGCTGCACTTGGCAGTGCTGATGCACGCCTTTAACCCTGGCACTCGGGAGGCAGAGACAGGTGGATCTCTGTGAGTTTGAGGACAGCCTGGTCTACAGAGAGAGTTCCAGGACAGGCTCCAAAACTACAGAGAAACCCTGTCTCGACAAAAAAATGAATGTTGCTGCTTGTACTGGTAAAGTCAGTGATATGCACACCCTTCCTTTCTAAAGAACTGAATTGAGCAATAGTCTCTGGAGTTGAAGATTTAGTCACAGAGATGAGGGATTATTTGAACTAAGAAATGTAAACACAGGCTGGACACAAGATTATAAAGACTGGCACTTTTTTTTATAACTATTAGACTTCCTTCTGTAGGTGATAAATTCTCATAAACAAGCTTTCTAAAGGGAACTTAATTGTTTCTACACTAGTGTGTGCTTTCGTGTGTGCACACCGTGAGGGTGCCACACACCAGTGTGGAGGTCAGAGGATAAGCTGAGAATGTCTGCCCTTCCGAGGTCCCTGGATGGAACTCAGGCTTGGATAGAAGTATCTTTATTTACCATGCCGTCTCACTAGCCTGAGAGGTTTTATTTTACTTGACTTTGTGTAGGAATGTTTTGCCTGTGTGTATGGTTGCTCACCATTTGTTTGCCTGGTGCCCATGGAGACCAGAAGAGGTGTCAGCACCCCCAGAACTGGCATTATAGATGGTTGTGTGCCTTAGGCTCATTGTGCAGCCCAAGCTAACCTCAAACTTCTGATCCTCTTGCTTCAGGCTCCCAAGAAGCTCACATCATCCCAGGGCATCTTTTATTAGTTGAATCCTAATTTTTGTTACAGTAAACGTAAGACTATATTAGGTTGTGTATGATCCTGCCAGAAAGCAAGGAAGCATGTCATTTGATATTGCTAAAGTGTTTTCCAATATATATTTAATTGCTAAATATAAATATATAATACTTACTGAGTACAAGGTAAGTTTTAAAGAAAAGATTTTGGTCACTAGTGATCATGGAAGATTAGAAATTGTCACTCCGATCAAGAAGTTTATTTTTATCATGAGTGTGTGTGTGTTGACAAGGAGATCCAACGCGTGTGATCAAACCTGAGTAGCAAGCACCTTTACTGGCTGTATTTGTGCTTGTGGTTTCTGGGAAATATAAGGCGGCAACAGGAGCGGGAAAATGAGAGATCACACCTCAGCTGACAAGAATCAAGCAGAGAGCGGGAGCTGCAGGTGTGGCGAGACTAGGAACGCTCAAAAGCCCTCGCCCAATGAGAGCGTCCTCCTGCGAGGCTGCACCACCTCCCCAAACAGGGTCATCAACTGGAGACCAAGAGTTCAAGACCTGAGCTGATGGAAGGCATTCCTTGTCCAAACCACCACATCCTAACAAATTGTTTTGACACATGTGCATGTATATTATGAAGAATGTGTGTGTGTGTCTGTGTTTTATATGAGATTTTCACATGTAGGGAAAGCAATATATGAAAAATCTCAGAAGAACAAGTATCCTATTGCTGAACTTAATCCTCAGCCTGTGTATCTCCGTGTGTATCTCTGCGAGCATGTATCTCCGTGAGCGTATGCCACGTGTGTCTGTGTGCCTGAGACCACCAGAACAGGGCACCCAATCCCCTGGTGTTGGAGCTCACAGAAAATCGTGAGCCACCCAACATGAGTGCTGGGAATCAAACTTGTGTCCTCCAGATGGGGAAAAAAAGGCTCTTAACCACTGCGTCATTTCCCAGTCCTCCAGCTTCTGCCTCCACAGTGTTAGGATTACGGGCATGTGCCACCAAACCTGTGTTAGTCCCACTGGTTAGAATAAGACCACCACCACAATTTTTGAACCAAATTTAAAGCTAGCTTTAATTAAATACTGGCCAGGATGATGGATCAGGCTAGGTCCATTCCAGGGCTCCCAGAAAATGGCCAAGTTCTGAGAGACTTTCCTATGAGGAACTTAGGGAGACTGGCCAAGCAGAGTGTCCAACAGTCAATAAAACAGTGCCCACAGTCTGGGCAGGGCCTTGGCGGCAGGTGGGGCATGGGCCAGCTTTTCTCAGTGGTTAGCATCACCCAGTCCAGGTGAAGTCATCATGTGCCATCCTGTCTTTGGGGACCCTGGGGTCACTGCTAGAAGCTGTGGTCTCGTCTGCCATAGCAATCTTTTTCCATTAAATATTTCCAATGCCATATTCAGCAGATCTCAGGAGGCCGCCGGCGTAGACGCTTGCTTTTCTCAGCACACGGTTCACTGATATTCCAGAAAACTGAAGGCAGCCTTGGAATCTCGAAAAGCCTGAAGGTATTTTGTCTCCCGAGTGCCCTCCCCACAGGCTGGGAGTTCTGAAGCGAAGGTCTGGCTTTAGAATTTGGGTGGGGGGGGCTCCAGAAAATGCTAATCCCACTGGTTGAGAATAAGACCACTACCACAATTTTCAAACCAAATTTAAAGCAAGATTTAATTAAATACTGACCAGGATGATGGACCCGGCCTTGGTCCATTCCAGGGCTTCCAGAAAATGGCCTACATTGGCCAGATGGCCAACGCACAAGGCTCCAAATTTCCCATCTTTGACTAAAGGCAAGCTTACCTCCTGATGTACTTCCTGCCTATGTACCGCCCACCTAAGTGTAGCTCAAACACTTCCAGTGCAATTGAGTGTGAACCAAGCTTCTTTACGGAAGTGAAAACAGGTAACTTGTTATCTTACGCGAACAACAGCCTCCAGCATCTTGGGAAGTTATCTGTCAGGCAAGGGGCTTACAGGTTAGGGGCATTTTTGTTTTATGGATCTCTTATTCAAACCTAATTTTGGTTCTCACCCCTGCCGACTCTCAAGTATTTTTATATAGGCAGGTTTTTAAATATTTCCCTTTACCTCTTCCAACTGTTAACAAAAAAAGTGCTTGATATATTTTAAAGGTTTCGTAGTTTTATTTTTAGTATTTGGTCTGAAAATTTTGGTTTCAGGATTGGATTCCCCCTTTTTCCCCAGCAGATGCACACAGTTCGTCCCGTGGTCCCAATCCTCTCCTCCATACTCACTTTCCATGGTGTTCTACCTGTTTTTCTGTTAAATTTGGATCCTTCTGAGAAGCATAGGACTTTAATTCTGGTCAGTGTCGTGAGTCAAGCCACCTATGACCTATGTTTGAAAGAACATAGCAAGTGCCGCTTCACCATTTTCTCACATCTGCACGAGAAGAAGTTAGGGGAAGTAGGCCTTTCTGTAACGGTTCTCACCTCAGTTGATTGCTGGGTGTTCGGAGAAGGGAGGAGGGAGGTGACCGTCTTTGTTAATTTAGGCAGTGTCTATCTCCTTGGCTGGCTGGTTTCCTTAATTTTCCTTAATCCCATCCTTCCTACTCAAGTTTTCCTTGCCTTGAGGTTAGACCACACACTGTCCGCCCACTGCCTAAGGCACCCAGTCATCTCCCCCAGTCTACAAACTGAGCGAGGAGGGAAATGGCGGGGACCGTTAACGGCTTGGGGGCGAAGGGATGCGGGGCAGAGAGAGACCTTCCTGAGAGGGCTCCTCGCCGGAGCAATCTCCTCTGCGCCCGCCAGAAGGCGCCGCGGCGCTCGCCTTCCCCGCGCAGAGCCGGAGCCTCTGCCGCATCCACCCCGGGAGCGGCGCTGCGGTGTGCGAGCCGGGCGGGTGCCTGAGCCCTCCGCTGCCTGCGAGGACGACTCGGTGCCAGGGCTCCCCGGCTTTGTTGCTGGGGCTGGGGCGCGGCGGATCTACGATCCAGTTCTCCCAGGCAGGAAACGTCCCGAACCGCCCCCACGCCGCGGTCTACAAAGCCCCGGAGTCCGCAGGCGGGAGGAGTCGGATCCCCCACACTGTCAGGCTCCCGCCCAGCTCCCGCATCAGGCCTTCCCCGGCCTCATGAGGACCCCCCGGCCGGGGCGGAGAGCCGGGCGCCGCCCGGACCGCGATCTGGCCGCAGCCTTAGAGCGTTAGCCAGGTCAGTGCGCTGGCACGTCCGTCAGCGGGCAAGCTGTGGGCAGGAGCGGCGGCGTCCCCTTGGCGCACCGAGGCCACCCGAGGGTCACCGCGGTCGGGTACCGGCGGGCGCGAGCGCGATGCCGTGCTTCCCCTGACAGGCCAGGTGTAGACCCGCCCCTCCGCAGGACCCCAGCCCGTTTGATGCTCATGGGGGTGGCGATGGGGTGGGGGCGGAGGGTGGGCCCCCCCCCCCCCCGAGGGCCATGTGCCCAAGGTGTGGCGGGTCCCGATGCCGGGGCCTCGGGTCTATGCGGAAACTCAGATGTGACAGAAAAGCGGGAAGAGAGGAGGCCAGGATACCCCAGCGTGGGGCATGAAGGAAGGGATGTGCTCCGTGCGGACCGGAGATGGGTGGCCTCGGAAACCTGCGTAGCCTTCCAAGGCAGAGAAATCAAGAGTCCCAGCCCTCACCTTCCCCCTGCCGCTGGTCACCTCTCATCTTCCCCCACCTTAGGATGCGGCTAAGCCGCCGGGCTCTCTATGCGCTAGTTCTGCTGCTCGCCTGCGCCTCGCTGGGGCTCCTGTACGCCAGCACCAGAGACGCGCCCAGGCTTCCGAACCCTCTGGCGTTGTGGTCGCCCCCACAAAGTCCCCCGAAGCTCGATCTGCTAGACCTTGCCCCTGAGCCCCGCTACGCACACATCCCGGTCAGGTTCAAGGAGCAAGTAGTGGGGTGAGTGCTGACCCGGGCGAGGTGGCGACAGAGCACAGCATGCCGGGGTTGGGGGGGGGGGGGGGTGCCTGGAGTTTTTGTTTCCTCCAGTGCTGGGCCCAGGGTCCTGCTGCTTTGCACTGACTGGTGGGTGCAGTAAGCGGGAGGTGGAGAGGGTGACCGAGGCTTAAACTAGGGGGGAGGGGGGCAAGACGGCAAATCTCTCCTGAACCTTGTCACCGCCATTGGGGTGTGGGAGGAGGAGTGCAGGCAGCGGAGCACCCAGCGACAGCCGGCTTCTTGATTTAGACTTGAGATTACGGAAGGGTTCCTGAGTGGCGGCTAGGTAGACATTCCAGGAACTGGCCCTACTCCACACCTCTACAAAGCCCGGATACACGGGATGAGCTGGCTGGTCTGTGGTCCCCTCTTGGGGGCTATTTGAAGAGCAGTGCTTAAGGGGGAAAGATACCAGATGGGAAGAGTTGAGGGACCCAAGTGTGGGCTGCTATGGGTTTTGTGAGGTCAGTGGAGCTGGGCGGTGGAACTTTGAAGACCCTTTCTCCTCGCTTCAGGCTGCTGACTCCGTATAACTGCAGTTGTGAACCCAGGGGAGGGAGCTTTGCCTTCCCGTTCCAGAGACAGGCTCGAGTCATTGACCTCACTAAAGCCTTTACCGCTGAGGAGCTGCAGACTGTTTCTGTCGCCAGGGAGCTGGAATACCAGGCCTTCCTTGCAAGGTACCAGTGGGAAGCCTTCCCCAGGGTGGGGGCAGCGGTGGTCGTTAGTGACCCCTTGGGAAGAGATCTCTCTTTGTCTTTTGTCCCTCCCTCTCCACCGCAGAAGCCAGTCCCTGACTGACCAGCTACTCATAGCCCCAGCCAACTCCCCCTTACAGTATCCCCTGCAGGGCGTGGAGGTTCAGCCTCTCAGGAGCATCCTGGTGCCAGGTAAGGAAGGAAGGTCCGGGGGTGAGCCAGGTTAGAAGTCTGGATGAAGGAGAGTGAGGGGGGGCATGGGGTGAAAGGTGAAGATCCCTGAGAAGGGAGCTTAGGCAGGAGGTGTGGACAGAAGGGACTCTAGGGTTGCCGGGAATTTCAGGAAACCTGAGAAGTTTGTGGAGAGGAATCTCCTCTTTGATAGCTGAATAAGGGCTTGTGGGATAGGCAGGACCAGCCATGGAAGAAATGTCTCTTGGATGGGAAGGAGTTAAAAAAAAAAAAAAAAAAGTCCCTCTAGGGTATTTTGTACTAGGCCTCGGCAGGAGAGATGGCATGAAGCAGTGCATGGTGGGAAGAGGAGAAAAAATGAGAAAGAAGGCAGGCCTGTCTGTGTGATCTTGACTCCTCATCCTCCCCCCAGGGCTAAGTCTGCAGGAAGCTGCTGCCCAGGAGGTGTATCAGGTGAGAGGAAACAGCAAAGAGGCCAGGTGGGCACGGAGGGGGACAGATCCACCCAGAGAGATGCGGGGAATCGAAAGAGCAAGAGGTGAAGTGGGGGTCTAACCCCGCTCTCTCTCCCGCTCTGCCAGGTGAACCTGATTGCTTCCTTAGGCACCTGGGATGTGGCAGGGGACGTGGAAGGCGTGACTCTCACTGGAGAGGGACAGCCGAATCTCACCCTTGCCAGCCCGGGCCTGGATAGACTCAACCGGCAGCTGCAACTGGTCACTTACAGCAGTCGAAGCCACCAGGCCAACACAGCAGACACAGGTACGAGGCCTGGGTGAGGCAGGGGCGGGCTGAAAGAACAGAAGGAACCCAATCTGAAGAAAGCCGATGATAGAGGGTGTGGGAGGGCCTCGGGCCAGTGGCTACAATGGTCGAGAATGTAGCAAGTGGGCCAGTGGTGCCAGGGATGAGAGAAGGAGCCTTTGTTTATCTGGGGCCAAAACAGGCCAGTGGGAAACCAGAGCCTTGGGCGTGTTCCCGCTTCGGTTCGCCAATCCAGCCCTGAGCCTCCAGGAAGTGACCTCTTCCTGGAGCCGGAGGACTGGGGCATCCCCTCCCGCACCTTTCAGCGAGGTGCACTGCCCACAAAGGTTTCTAGCCCAACGCTTACCTTGCCAGCCTCCTTTTCCCTTCCTGCTTTTCTCCAAAGTTTGGTTTACTGCGTTTCCTCCTACCTTGGGGTCTTCTGCCATCCTCTCTGCCTAGAAGTTCTTCCCCGAGATTTTTACCCCCTTGGCTCCTTCTGGACGTTTGCTCAAATGACTCCACTTTCCTTAAGGCAGTTTTCCTGACCTCGATTTCTACTTAACGCCAGTACCGCCGCATTAGACTTTCTTGTTTACTTAACCTAAACCAGGATGGTTACATCCTCGCAGTGTTGCCTTGCACAATACGGGCATTTTACTTTCGGTGCCTCTCATTTCCTGTACTAGAAATTTATGTAATGGCATTATCACATTGATTAAATGGCTTCATCAATTTAGAACACACTTTCAATTGTTTTGTTTTGTTTTTGAAGCCATCTCATTTCACGTAGCTATGGCTGGCCTCAAACTCATTATTCAGCCGACTTTGACTCCCTGTCCTCGAGCTTCTACCTCCCAAGTTCCAGGATTACAGGTGTGTGCCACCACACCAAATGACAGAAAGAATTTAAAGCTGTGTAGCACAGAGTGAAGTGTAGTGGTCCATGCCTGTAGTCTTACTGCTTGGGAAGCTACGGTAGGAGGGTAGAGAGTTCAAGGATAGCCTAGGCTACACACACCCACGTGCCCCCCGCCCCCACAATATATTGCGTGTAGAAAATTTTAGTGAAGATTAACTTTTAAACAGTTAGCTTTTGCTAGACATGGTAATGCTCACCTATAATGCCAGCCCTCTGGGATCTGAGGCAGGTAGGAGAATTGCCTCAGTGTTGAAGGCAGCCTGGGCTGTGCAGCAAGTACCGAGCTAGTCCGGGCTTCATAAGCAGGACCCAGCCCTTTCAAGAAGCCAAACGGGGAAAAAAAGGAAAAAGAAAGAACAGGAGGAAGGAAGGAAGGAAAGAAGAGAAGAGAAGTTCCATTGCCTTTGTTTCATCTCCTAAACTGTCAACTTCCGGCCAGATGTGTAGCTCAGTCTCATTGGGTAGTGTGCTTGTCTGGCGTGCACAAGACTGTGGGGTCAGTCCCCAGCATGGTGCAGAACTCTATAGGATGTCTCATTAGGAGACACTGTAGGTGATAACACCTGTAATCTTATTCAAGAGACAGAGGTCATCCTGTGGAAGAAAAATAGAGCTGGGGATATGAACTTGGTGGCAGAGTGCTTTGGAGCATGTGTTAGGCTCTAAATTCAATTCCCATCACCACAGAACAATAAAACACAGGTTCCACAGAAGTCAGAACTGTATGTTCGTGCCTACCAAGGTCTGGAAAGGCAGAACACAGAATAGGGATTTAAATATTGGTTTGCTGAAAAGAGAATGTTCTTCTAGCCTTAAGGGCCCAATTCCACGTCCTTTCTTCCCAGTCCGGTTCTCCACCAAGGGACATGAAGCTGCCTTCACCATCCGCATAAGATATCCTCCCCAACCCCGGCTGTACCCACCTTCATTTGTACGCGAGGGAGGTGAGGAAGTAAAGAAGGGTTAGCCCTGGGAGGGGCTGCTTTCCCGTTTCTCTCTCCCATTCCCCCCTCCCTTTCTGCACCCAACCCTGCATCTTGTTTTCAGCCCAGTACAACATCAGTGCTCTGGTTACCATCGCCACCAAGACCTTTCTTCGTTATGAGCGTCTACGGACACTCATTGCCAGCATCCGACGCTTTTACCCCACCGTCACCATAATCATTGCTGACGACAGCGACAAACCGGAGCGCATTAGCGACCCCCACGTGGAGCACTATTTCATGCCCTTCGGCAAGGTGCGCTGCCTGCAGAGCTGAACCCGGGCACCAGAGGACTCTGGGAAGGGGGCGTGCCCTCAGTCTGCGGCTTGCAGGGTAGTGATTGAGGACCACCTGCCTCAGACACAAGTGTGTGCCTATTGTAAGAGATCCCGGATCTGGAATTTTGGCTAGCTCATTCGTTCTGCATTCTTGAAATGGTGCTATTACCTATAATAATAGAATAAATTGGTAGATGCACGCATGAAATTAAATGTATTTCAAGATCCTCCCCCAAAAGATTCAAGATCTTTAAAAAGGTGGGAACCTGCGGGCTAGTTTTTTTTTTGTTTGTTTGTTTGTTTTGTTTTGTTTAAAAAAAAAACAGTTTCCTCCAGTCATGCGTAAGCACTCAAAAGTCTAGAGAAGGGCACGGGCTGTTTCGAGGGTCAGGGGAGAGGAAGAAAGACGGAAGAGTTTCCCTGCTTCTACAGACTCCCCAAGCATAATACAACTCTCCTAGGGCTGGTTCGCAGGTCGGAACCTGGCGGTATCCCAAGTAACCACCAAATACGTGCTGTGGGTGGACGACGACTTTGTCTTCACAGCGCGCACGCGGCTGGAGAAGCTTGTAAACGTGCTGGAGAGAACGCCCCTGGACCTGGTAGGGAGGGGCGCGGTGCGTCCTAGGGTGAAGTCAGTCTGGGGGGACAGTCCTGGGTCCTGTGGTGCTGACGCCTACAGGGCGAGGGCGGGGCGGGGGCGCTGATAGGAAGCATCTTACTCTGGGGGACCTGGCTCTCACTGGAGCATCCTCTCACCCCCGGCAGGTTGGGGGCGCCGTGCGGGAGATCTCGGGTTTCTCTACCACCTACCGGCAGCTGCTGACTGTGGAGCCGGGCGCCCCAGGCCTTGGGGACTGCCTTCGGCATAAACGTGGTTTCCACCACGAGCTCCTTGGCTTCCCAAACTGCGTGGTCACCGACGGCGTGGTCAACTTCTTCCTGGCGCGCACAGACAAAGTGCGCGAGGTGGGCTTTGACCCGCGCTTCAACCGGGTGGCACATCTGGGTGAGTGGCGCCCCCTCCTGGCGAGGCCTGGGAAGGACCCGGTGCAGCTCTGGCCCGGGCGCGCCAAGCTGCCACTCCGCAGCACCCACTCCCCTCCCCGCTCCCGGTGAATGCTAGAACAGTTTGGGCGGGGGGGGGGGGGGGGGCTGTGTTACCGGGGTCTGCACCTGAGCTTAAAAAAAAAAAAAAAAACTCGAAACTTCCTTCTCTGCCTTAGACAACACAGCAGCTGATGGGCCTTGAACTTCCTTTCCACTGCCAAGGTCACCCTTGTCGCTGGCTGCTTCCCTAGGTCCAGACCTACTCAAAGGAGTGAATCCAGTGTTTATTAAAATGAACCCCACTTTATACATGAGTTAAAGAGACCGAAAGCCGCTAAAGCGTCCTTAGCAACCAAGTTTTCGCCCAGCCACCCTCTGAGCCATTGAATTCGGTTCTCCCTAGGAGCTGGCTTTTTACACCCTCCGGAGACTTAGAAGACTTAACCGTGTGCTCTCCCCACCCTCATCCCAGAATTCTTCCTGGACGGACTTGGTTCCCTTCGTGTTGGCTCCTGCTCTGATATTGTCGTGGATCACGCCTCGAAGGTGAAACTGCCGTGGGTGTCAAAGGATACGCAGGCAGACACTTATGCCCGCTACCGTTACCCGGGATCGCTGGACCAGAGTCAGGTGGCCAAACATCGTCTGCTCTTCTTCAAGCACAGGCTACAGTGCATGACTGCTGAGTGACAGCTGATTGGGTGTTCCCACTGTCAGGCTGGGCCTGCCTCCTGATCCCTGCCAGGAATTCCCAACAACCCCTCCAACTCCTGACCCCTGACCCCTGTCCATCAACCTGATCCCTAACAGGGGCTTGTCCTGGTGACAACCCTTCCTTTCTGTGAGTGACCAGAGGCCTGATGGAGCCATAACCTTTCCCACAGCCAGTGCCAAGTCCTCCCCCAACCCCATTCCAATGGGGCAGGAAATGGGGGGATTCACTTTCCAAGTGCCAAAGAGCCCAGAAGGACTCTGAGACCCTCAAGTGGAAACAACTCTCGCCTCCTGAGGGGGCAGGGAAACTCCCAATGTGCAACCCCAGGGACACGCACCCCGACCCCAGCTCTGGATCCAGCACCGTGTGTCCCAGCTTCAACATACCCCACAGGGAGCACTGTGACCGTTGTGTGGAGCTGGAGAACACATGGTGAACGCCATTTTCCTTGTGTCTGCAGTACTTTGGGCGGGGCGGGGGGTTGGGAGGGGAACTGGAGAGTTGCACAGGCAGACACTTGATGGGCTGCAGACACTCTCGGCTTCATTTTATTGGTTGTATTGGGGTGGGGGCTCAGGGGCCGTGGCCTTCCTCACACACAGACTGTTGGGACCTCTCATACTCCAAGTGACCTTGGTTAGACCCACACTGTACAAATCTTTGGGCCAGTGGGCTTCTGGGGGAAGAAAAGAGACAGTTGAGAAATATTTGTTACAGCCGTCCATCTCTGAGACTTGGTGCGTTGGGAGCATCTCAGCCCTTTGGAGACCTTAGTCTTCACCATTGGTGAAGGGTGCCCACACTCCCTAACTTGTTTGTTTGTTTTTCAAGACAAAGTCTTTCTATGTATCCCTGGCTGTTCTAGAACTCCCTGTGTAGAGCAGGCTAGCCTCAAACTCATAGAAATCCTCCTGCCTCTGTGTGCTGGGGGATTAAGGGCATGCCCCCCCCCTTTCAATGCTAGTCAGATTCTCCCTGCTTCCCTCTTGAGCTTCCTCCATCCCTTCTCCGCATCCCTCCTCCCAGGCTGTCATCAGTCAGCCGGTCCTCCCTCCCCATCCCAGTACCTCCTGGCTGCTGCCTCACCAGTCTCTCCAGCGCATGTGCGGCTGCATCCTGAACACTCACAAAGAGTTGTTCTGGGGTCATTCTCTCCAGGAGTCCTGCCCGGGTCAAGGTCTCCAGCACCAAGGCTGTGTGGGAAAGGTGTCAGGTGCTCGGGCCCCCAGTCCCTTCCACAAGTGTCCAGTCACAGTCCTTCCCCCCTCCCATCCTTCACGTCACACACCATTGCACTGAGCCAAGAGGAGACAGATCCCAGCATCCTGGCATCGCCTGGTGAGCTGCAGGAACCAGACAGAGGGGTTAAACCCCAAATCAAGGGCATGCGTGGTTAAACCCCAAATCAAGGGAGCTTTTCCTTAGCTTCCCTGCTCCCTCACCTGTACCACTTCCCTGGCCCCTGCAGCATCCGCAAAGCTGATGCCGCTGAAGTCCAGGACCACCACTCTGATGGGCTCAACACCTAAGATGGAAGAAGGCAGGAACATCCAGACACCTGTGTGGCTCATGGCCAAAGCCCCCTCTTCTCATCCCATCTCACCTTTGTCAGGTAGACTACCCAGCTTTGGAGACTGCTATAAACAGAGAAAATCAATGTCACCACCTCCAAGTCACAGGCACCATCTTGCAATCTCAAGACATACTAGGCTCCCAACCCTAGAGGGTCCACACTCCCCCTTGACCGAAGTCCTCACCTTGCCTCTTTCTCCAAGCCCCAGATGCCACTCCAAGATGTGGCGGAACTGCCCACGGGTTGCGAAGTAGAGTGGTGTTGGATAGCTCAGGATGCAGAGACCAGGAACCTGGAGGAGCTGAAGGGTAAGAGAGTCAGGAGCGTCCTGTGAATCAGTCCTGCCTTCTTTGGCTGCTACCTACCCACCTTATGGCTCTCTCTCAGTGGCCTGTAGAGCTCGGTCCCCTCAGCCAATCCAAGTGCCAGGCACTGCACCCTAGGGAAGAAGCTAGCGTCAAAGTCCCAGCCTCGCCTGGCTTGGCGGTAGGCACCCCCAGAGTACCTAGCTTCCTCCCCTCATTTCAACTCTACCCATCTCTACACTCACCTCTGAGTGCGGCAGACCACTGTCATCATAGAGACGACCACGCCCACAGCCAGGCCCAGGTCCACATTCAGGGTCACTACTGCCACCCATGTGACCATCCACACAGCCTGAAGGATATGGGTATGGGTGGACAAGCATGAGTAAGGATGACTCAGGAGAACGGAGGCATGGCAGAGGGAGGGGCTTACTTAAGAAGGGCTTACACACCAAATATAATAATGTCAGACCCTGCGTGAGTCAGGAGGTCTGGACTGGGGGCGCAGTACAGTGGTAGGGAGCTCTGCTAATATTCATGAGGTTCTGGGTCTAATCTTCAGAACCATCAAAAAAATGCCCCAAACACTCGGGTCCTTTTCCTTTTCTCTAACATATGCATGAGGTCTGTGTGTTGGCGGGTGTATGGGCTAATCAGCTTTGGTCCCGGGCAGAAGCCGGAGATGCCGGGGTAATGCCATGTCTCACAAAGTCTACGCGGCTGATGTGCCACAGTTGTGGCAGCTCCTGCATCTGGAAGAACATCTGGCGCATGCTGGAGATATTGATGCAAGCCAGGACAGCCTTGAGACAGAGAAGAAGAGGCCTTTGTCCAAAGGCTCTGGAGCTCAGCCAGCTCCACTCAAGCACACGGTGTCTCTTTTCCTCCCTACCTTGGGCAGATAGTAGAAGAAGGGCCCCAGCCACAACAGCACTGCCAGGACAACTATGCAGGAGAAGAGGCCGGCCAGCTGCAGGGAAAGAAAGCCGACAAGGGAGGAAAGGAAACCTCCATCCCCACATGTGTAGGAGCCCGTCTCCCTGCCCAGCCTGTCTCGCGTCCCTCAGAAGTCTCCCTCCTCCCAAACCTCCTCCCACACACAGGTCCTGCAAACCACCCTCTTGGTGTTCTGCCAGTCACACTGAGCCCCTCCCTCCAGCTAAATGCCTGTCATTTGCCGATCGCTCCCAGATGTGTGCAGATTGGCCTCACACTATTGAAGCGCATCTCCATCTTAAAAGGTCCTCTTGGTGCTGATGACAAGCAGGCTAGTCATCTGCTTAGGAACCAACAAGTAATCACAGAAAACAAAAAAAAAACTAGGGCAAGAATCACGTGGTGTAATATCTCTTTCTTTTTTAGGGGTCCTTATTGAAAATGTCAGAGTTTTATATCCTACATTTATAGGTGTGTGTGTGTGTGTGTGTGTAAGGACAACACACCTGTGTCCCGGTTCTTGTAGACAGCGACACTGGTGTCTTCCTCTGTAACTCCTCTGCCACACTGAGGCAGGGTCTCTCAGTTGAACCCAGAGCTCATTGATGCCCAGGACACCCCACCCCCTGGCTGTCTTCAGGACGGGTCGCCATGCCCATGGAGCTGGGGATTTGAACTCCTGCCCTCATGCTTCTGTGGCGAGCACTTTATCCACTGATCCATCTCCCCACCCAGCATAGTAGTTTCATTTTGAAAGTCTCTGTGTACCCAAGACAGCCTTGAACCCCAGGTCCCCCTGATTCAGTCAGCCTTCCTAGTTTCTAGAATTCTGGGTATGTAATACAACACACACATATATGTACACACACATACATAGGTTTTTTTTAAAGCTGCATTTACTTATGTCTACAGTGTTCTCTCTGCATTGTATGCCACGGGCCAGAAGAGGGCACCAGATCTCATTACAGATGGTTGTGAGCCACCATGTGGTTGCTGAGAATTGAACTCACCCTATATATTGGGTTTTTTGAGACAGGGTTTCTCTGTGTAACAGCTCTGAACCAACCAGGCTGGCCTCGAACTCACAGAGATCCGCCTGCCTCTGCCTCCCGAGTGCTGGAATCAAATGCGTGCCCCCACCTTGAGGCATGTTGTTTATGTTAATTAATCTGAGGAGCTATAGCGTTCATCAGTGCTTACAGCCTGCAGAGGTCCTCGTGGAACTTCATTATTGTCTAATCCCCCTCCTTATAATCCCTTCTTTTACTCCCACTCTCTAATATATAGATGCTATTGGGGTATCTGCCTGTTTCCTCACCTTCTGTGATCATCCCTACCTGAAAATCCCATCTTTTCCCCTCACCCAAGGGGTCCCTCTTACCTGTGTGTTCCCACCAGCATCCACTAATAAGCTGGTTGTAGCCAGTGTGGCCGAGTTGGGAAAGCAAGAGAAGAGAGAAGAAATGAGGTTGGAGACACCATGGGCGAAGAGCTCCTAGAAGGAAGCCATGAAGTCAGGAGGAGAAATGCATAGGCATGGAAGAATACGGCTAAGGGGTCGCTCCTGGAAAAGGCTGGCATCCAGAGTCACACCTGGTTGGGGTCAATTGTGTAGCTGTACTTGTCTGCATAGATGGAGGCCAGGGAGGTGGACACGGCAAAAGTAACCAAGGCAATGGGCAGTGAGTCGGCCAGTATCCTGGGCAGCTCGTCCAGGGTGGGGAAGAGTGGCTGGGGGAACCTAGAGAGAGAAGGAGCCATACTAAGGATGGGTTGGTTGTTACGGGAAAACTGAGTAGGAAAAGCAACTGGAATGGGGCAGGACAAGGGAGGGTGTCTGTGGGAGAGGTAGGGGGAGGAAGAGGTGTCTTTTCTCTCTCTTACCCTCCAGGCAATACTCCAACTACCTGGACGTTGTATCTTGTGTCCAGGGAAGAGGCAAAACACAGCACAGAGGCCAGAAGCACCTAAGGAAAGCAGCACATTAGAGCCTAGAAAAAGATGGGGCCTTTGGCAGAATCTAGAAGAACCTCAGCCTGAAAGAGAATCCCAGTGTGGGTCTGAGTGGTCTTAGCTGGTGAGGCCACAGAATGTTCGGAATGGATCCCTAACAACTCTATCTCACCTACAGCGAAGGAAGGGGTGTAGTGTTTGCCTGGAGAGATAGGGAGACAAAGGAGCTAAGAGGACGTCCTTTGGGAGAGATGGACACAAAAGATCCACTTGAGCCGTTCTAAGTCTATCTGAGATATCTGTGGAGAGCGATGACATTATTATGGGTGGACAGTGAAAGGCAGATACAGCGGATCACAGCGAGAGGCCGGTAAGGAGAACAGAGAGAGTGCAATGGGAAGGAAGCAGACGTGCATAGAGGCCCGGAGCGAACTCGACCGGGGGAGAGGAACAGTACAGGCTAGCAGTTCTGGTGGGTCAATTAATTGGTCTAGAAAACTCTTGGAAAGTCTAAGTGTCAACAGAACGTCTTGCTTGTGTAACTTCTGTGTATTCCACAAGGGGGCAGCAGCCTCTAGATCCTGCTGGCCGGGTAAGTGGGGACACAGCAGGGGGCAGGGACCTAGGATGGCCCTTACCATGACAACTTCTCCTGGGATTGGAGTGGGTAGCCTGTCCCGGAATCTCACGTTCAGTTCCTTGACCGGCACTAGCAACGCCAGACTGAGCGCTGAGATGGTCAGTTCTGCAGGACTGCTCCGGGCCAGGGCGGTGAGCACCGCAGCCAGCGTCTGCAGGCAGGGACCACGAGCAGGACTGGGTACCAGTGTTAATCGGCTCTGCCGGATTCAACACCAACCCGCTATACCCGAGCAGCTCTTCTCCCCAGCGCCCTCGCAGCACCGTGGTTCCTGACACTCTTTTCCTGCTGAATGCCATTTTTCCACCCTCCACGCCTCCCCTTTCAAGTTGTCCCTTTCCCGTGACTCTTTTTCCACTCCCACCTTGAAGAGAGAAAAGCAGCCGATCTGGCGTGGGAGAGACAAACCCAAGAGGCTTGGTAGCTGGGACACCAGCACGTGTAGCGCGGCCCCGCTGGTTAGCGCCTTGACCACAGGCTCGGATAAAAAGGTAGACAGGACCCCAAGCTGTAGAGCGAACATCGCTAGCTGTGGAGAAGGTAGAGTGGGAGGGGAGTGGTGTGCGATCGCCAACAGACCAGCCAGCTTCCCCACTGCACATCCGCCACGCGGGACCTGAACCCGAGGCGTGTTCCTACTCTTTCCCTCATCCCCCACCCTCAGGCCCAATTGTTGTTTCTGGTTCTCTTCGGTGGATCCATCCCCTAGGGTCAGCATTGATTCCTCCCTTACCATCAGCGCCCCACTCCCGAAGGCCACAGCCGCTGCCGCCCCAACTCTCCGAGCTTCCAATTGCTCCCTTTCAATTTCACTGAGGTTCCCCGCGAGGGGATCGGGCACCAGCCGCTCAACAACAGAGCCGGTCATGAGACTGAGGACTGCGAAGGTTCCTGCAGCCGTGGGGTCAGACGCAGAGGTTAGCAGCAGCGCAGCCTGGGGCAGAGCAGCAGCGCAGAGTCCCGCAGTTCTAGAGCCTAGGGTGCTGTTGTCTGATCCACTCTCTTAGAAGGTGAAGATCTTGGGGTCATGGGCTGGTACAGCAGCCGGGAACCAGTAGGCAGGAAGGAAAAGAGTGTGCCCCTCGGCAAAAGTGCCCCCTCTGCAGGCTCTCAGCGGACTGTGCACTTCTTTTTCTTCAAGGCCAAATATAACCAAATTTCACAGGGACGAGGAGATTCGTGTAAACTCCCGCCTCTGTATCCACTCCAGCAAGCTTGGGATGGGGGGGGGGGCGTGGGAGTCACAGAGTTTGTGCAGAGGCTGGGAATGGGATGGGGATATCCAAAGAGGGATGGTGGCAAGTAGGTGAGGGAAGGTGGCAGGGGGAACAGCGTCCCAAAGCTTTCAAGTGGCAGTCTTGCCAAGGTATGTTTGGCTCACGCCTTTAATACCAACCAGAGGGAGGCAGAGGCAGGCAGATCTCTGAGTTTGAGATCACCTGGTCTCTAGGGAGCCTCAGACCAGCTAAGACTGTACAGTGAGACCCTGCCCTCCCCTCTCCCCCCGCAGCTTCAAACCTCTGACTATTTTCATCTTAAAGAGAAGTCATGCCTGGCCACTCACCAGTGGACAGGTGTCTCCCAGTGCCCAGCAAACTGTAGATAAGGACCGGAAAGAAAGAAGTGTAGAGTCCAAACACGGGGGGCACAGAGGTCAGGAGGGCAAAAGCCATGCCTAAGGGGAAGAAGAAGAAAAAGTATGTGTAGCCGGCGGTGGGGGGGGGGGCGCCTATAGCCTCCAGGTACTGCCCTTTCCCACACTCTTGGACTGGCCATCGGACACTATAAATCAGGACACCCGAGGGAACTGAGAGGTTAATGGGCCTCAGTGGGAGGTCGTGAGGCCGACAAGGTCACAGATCCTTGCCCACGTCCTGGGTGGCAGGCTTTGTGCCTCTCTCCAGTTCTCTGAGGCGGAACAGAGTCCAAGATGTCTCACAGGATTGCACAGATGAGGACGGGTAGGGGTGGGAATATGATGGAGTCCCACAGTTCTACTCTCAAATTCCCCCTCTGACCCGGCAGGGATACTAACCCACCACCTCACTGCTCAATTCTCAGCTCCCCATAGCTTGGAACCCCAATAGGCTGTAGTTGGGGCCTCTCACCCTGGGGCACGTGCACAACGCCCACGGTCACTCCAGCCACCGCATCTCCTAGCAGCCACGCTCGCCAGCGGTAATGGGGCAGCCAGCGCAGCGGAGGCAGCCGTGCCTGCAGCACGCGCCACGCCCCCGGCCCTGAACAGCAGCCAGCTCGCCTCCTCCACAACCCGCACAGCCAGGGTAAGCGGGGCTCGGCTGGTACTTCCGGCTCCTCTGCGCCCCCATAAAGCTCCTGGAACCGAGCGTGGGTGAGAGGTTCCCTGAACCTAGAGCTCAGCGGAGACTTCAGGTCAGAAACCTCTTCCGGACCTGAGCAGGTCCCAGAGACAAGTGATCCACTCATTTTGTCGTTGGCCCCCTGCAGCATCTCGCGGTCTTAAATACCCTTCTGCGCCCCCACCCCACCCACGCTAGTCCTGAGCCCGCCTCCACAAAGCAGGGTCCAATCCGGACCTGTAGAGGGTACTTTCTGGAGTACCTCCTTGGGTCAGGCTTGGGTGGAAAAAGTCCCTATGTTAGGCGCCTCCTTAGCCGGATCTGACTGCCTGGAAGCCTGGGGGCCTGCCCTGAGGAACGGTAGAGAGATAAGAGACCCACAGCCACTTCCAGTGGTCCTCGCCTCTTCAGCAGGGCCCTTTCTACTCCAGCACTTTGAGCAAGGCTAGCTGGTTCCTTTGGGTCAACGGTCTTTCCTGAGCCCCAGCACACTCGCACGGCTGGAATACGGTGTTCATCGCCAGCTGG